GTTAAGAGGAATGTTGGTTTGTGAAAGACTCTTTTGTAATTATAATCTTGTTACTTTTGAACGTTGCATTTTTAATGTTACGGCTTTTTGGAGATTGATAGAAATATCCGTCTTTAATCTAGAAAAATCTAGATTAGTAGGTTGTTATTTATCTTCTCAGTAGCGGAATTGTAAACGCTATACTATTACTTTTGTTGGGTGATTTTTTTTTTTTTTTACCTAAGATTATGGTTCTCGTTAGATATTTTCGGTTTGGAATATATTTTTTTTAGGGTGTTACATTAGCCTCCAAATTTGCCGAGGATTAGTCGGGCTTTGGCCCGGACACCCTTACAAAAAAAAAAACATTGAGAAGGTTACCTTCGAAACGTTTTGCATTGAATTTCAAATATAAATATAATCACGAGTTTCATAAAAACAAACTGGTTTTACGTGAACCAAGTCTAAAAACATATTGTACATATATTTTTTATATAAAAAGCGGGAAGCTTTTTTCAAAAATGTATACCGCTAATAGTGGTAGTGAGGTGGCACTTAAAGAGCAAAAATGGAAGGATACGTGTCAAACAATGAGGCCAAAGAGTTACACGTGTAAGATGACGTGGAGGGCCAATCGCCTATATAACCTCTTTTATGGTCCCTTTTCCACTTGTATTATTACTGCTTGTGAAATCCAATTCAAAAGATGGGGAAAGCTTTGTTCATCTTCATGTTCATGCTCGTTCTTTTTGCTTCCGGTAACTGCTTTTTCTCGATTACCTGTTTCGTGTTTTCCGATTCTTTCGGTTTTCACACGTTTTGTGTTCTTTTTGCTTCCCGTAATCGCTTTCGTGTTTTCCGATTCTTTCGGTTTCACACGTTTCGTGTTTTTCGATTCTTTCGGTTCTGCCTTTCGTGTTTTTCGATTAAATTGGTAGACTGCTTTCATTTTTTCCCGTTACAAATAGTTCTTTTGTTCGGTTTTTCAAGAAGTTATAACCATTAATGAATGTGGTTTAGATGTTAACATCGTTTTTCTTTTCACGAAATTGGAACGTTATCTTATTTGAAGTCGGTATAGCTATTGAAGCAAATTTTTTCCAGATCTTTAAAAAGAACCCTTTTGGTCTTGAAGGTTTAAATACAGTGACTCAGGGTACCCGCAAATGATGTGGTCGTCATGGGATTAGTCGACTCATATAGCGGGTTTTATATACAGGTTAATAGAAAAAAGTTTGAAAGTAGCAATGATCTTGGAGATGCTCTAAAACTATATTTTTTTTCATGAGGTTGTAATGTCAATGTTGTCTTGTTTTCAAGTCGCATTAAGGGGTCGTTTACCAAATACTTATTCGGTAAGCGTTTACCGTTAAAATTAACACTATCATTTACTTATCGAGGTAAGATTTTAGTCAACAAAAACGGCATCGTATGTAACAATTTACCCGATAAACGCTAACCATGGTAAAAGTCGTCGTTCTTACTTACCGAGTAACGGTCCTTGCCTTGCTCTTACCAGGTAAGATTCTTGGTCCTTACCATATTAATCCGGTAAGGTAATTTAAGTTGTGAGCATTTACCCGAGTAAGTGTTTGGTAAACAGCCCTTTAAATAAATGTCCATAATAAAAAAAAAGTCGGTTGTAGAAATGTATAATAATTACATTTATTTTAATTAATAAAATGACTGTTTTATCCTTAATTAAAGAAATTCCTTTAGGGGCATAATGGGAAAATATATAGGAAAATATATATTTACTTTTGAAAAGGTGAAATTATTTCACTTGTTTTAAGACTAGAGGAAAATTAATAAACAATTCAGATGTTTCAACATGTAATACGATAATCTTTTTGAGCCTTTTTCTATTCATTAGCATTATCTTTTTGAGCCTTTTTCTATTCATTAGCATTTTATCCAGTTTCGAGTTGATTTTTATTCTGGGTTTAGAGCATCTCCATCAGATTCTTTAAAATCAAGATTTTTGGGAATGTCTGATATAACAGATTTCTTCAAAACCAGTATGGGAGATGACGAAACTGTGTAAATTTGGAGATTTCTCTAAAAATAATTACTTATGGCAGAGAAATGATGTTTTATTTATTCTATCAATGAGATTGCTAGGGAAATTATAATCGGTTGAAATGTTAATCATGAGAACGTCAGGGTTGTCTTGGTTTCGGTCGATTTATGTTGTGGTTTAAAACGATTGTCACCATTGGAATTGCAGAGGAGACTATGGTGAAGGTGATAGAAGCGAAGATGTGTCAAACGACAGGCCATGCGTTTAGTTGTGTGAACGATTCGACATGTAATGGCTCTTGTGAAAAGCAGGGTTTCGCTAGCGGCAAATGCGATGGTCTGCGTCGCCGTTGTACATGTTACAAGCAGTGTTGAAACACATGCTTTGTATAAAAACTACTCTAGCTACGACACTGGTCACGTTGCGAAAACGTGACTTACGCTTGTACCATCAGTCATATCTGATAGTATATAGGATATCAATAAAGCTTGGTGTTTGTAATATATCTGTCATGTCTTATCGTATCTGATTTTTAAATCAGTAAATTAATAGTTTCAGTAAATTAATAGTTTGGAGAATATATCGACTTTCCTATATGTAATATAAAATCTGTTTATATTTTTCTGTTTGGAATTTTCAGGAGATTTGAATTTTGTGGAAGAATTAAAAATTTAATGTACTTTAAATTATTAGAACGTCTTTAACAGTTATGTTAAAAATGAAGAAAAGCAGTTTTTTCGTTCTAATTGCTATGATATCTTGTATGTTAAAATAGTGAAAAGATAGGGACATTGTAAAATTTCTAAATTAAGAGAAATCTATAAAATATTATTTTAATACCTCTCACCAAGTATTGAATAAACTAAAGGGTTTTTGACCTAACGGTATATTAGTCTTTGACTTTTGAGGAGGTTAAGAGTTTAAATCTCATCAAATGTGAACAGAGTGTGTGAGTTTATTTGTTCTACTTGTCGTATATAAATATTATATATTTTAAAAAAAAGTATTAAAAATAAATGTTTATAGAGAAATAACACTTTATTAAATATATTGAAAATATTTTAATAATGAGTAATTGCTGGAGTTGAATGTAACTTTTTTAGAGATTTTAACTTTCAATACTCTATTTTAGAGAAAATGCATCGTAATTGTTAGAGACAGTCTTACAGCTTCTCTAAAATAATAAAAAATGAGTTTTTGTTTCTTTAAAATGCTCCAACAACTTTTCTATCTTGTTCTTTAAAATAGAGAATCTTGGAGAAAACTTTAAATATAGAGAATTTTCTAAAACTTGATGTTGGGAGAGAGATGATTGTTTATGTTAAAATCTCTAAAATGAAGAATCTGTTGAAGTTGAATGTAATTATTTTTAGAAATTTTATGTTTTGGTTCTCTATTTTAAAGAAATTGTAAAATAGCTGTTGTAGATATTCTAACACACAAATCGAACATGTGATTGAAATGAAATTCAATTTCAAATCCAATCTGACTTTCTTATGTTTGTTCAAACCAAACATGAGATTAAAACGAATTCAGTTCTAAATCCCTTCAAATCCAATCGAACTCTACAAACCACGGGTAAAAAATGGGTTTGTTGTTATTTTAAGCGCAAATTGCATGAAAAAATAAGGTACTTTAACTTGATTCATATTTTAGGTAACGTACTTTTAAAACTTCAATTTTGGTATCTAAAATATAAAGTTTTAAACATTCAAGTACTCGGGTAACCGGATAAAAACTAACTTTAGAATAGAAAAAACCATATCACTGACCACGTCAACAAATAATACCAAGTTTGATACTAGATTAACATGATAACCGATTAATTCTTCAACAAATATAATAAAAATAGTAAAATTCTTTAAAAATAATTGTTTGAAAAATCTTTTAGATTACGTTCGATTCATATAATAGAATTTGGAATGTAATTTGACTACATTTTCGATTGATAAAAATTAAAATGAAATCTCTCAAAAGAATTAAAATCTTCATATACGTTTGACAGAAACGTAGCTTCAAAATTGAAATGAAATAACAATAAATGATCAATATACTTTTTATTACATTTCATACTTTTTGCTTAAATTATAATTTTTAATTAGGTTGAGTTCAAATGAGACCAGTCTATTTTCGTGAGACCATTTTTTTATACTTCAAACTTCACAGCAAAACGCTTCAAGTCATTAATTGGAGAGAGCGATGGCCGACAAAGACGATAATGGAGGTTAGGGGTGCAGTGGTGACGATCAGTAATGGCATAGTAGAGTGAGGCGCCACCAAGGTGAGTGGTGGCACATGGATGGGTGGGATTCTAACAAACCAAACGAGATCGTTTGAACATCAAATATTTAAAAATGAAAAACAATATCATTTGGTTTGAAGAAAAGAATTTTTTAACACAAATTCCAAAACTATCCTTTTGGTTTGCATAAAAACAAAATTAAGGGTCTACTTGATAGTTGCCGAATGATTTTGTACATAATAATTAAGTGATCAGAATGATTATGTGGCTCTCATGATAGAGTGCATAATGAAATTTAATTGTTTGGTAATTGTTTACAATGAAATTAGGACGCTGAATGGTTAAGAGAGACCAATGATACAAAATCATTCAGAGAGTTTTAGAACCATTAAGAGACAAACTTTGTTTTGCCAAACAAGATTAACCTCTTAACGATTCAAAAGCTACCTCTTAATAGAACTACTAAAAGGTAAACAAACGACCTCTTGTAATCTAAACATAGCGAAGTAACAGATTAAAGATAACAAAGGTAGTCTGGGTCTGTTTGGTTAGTTTTCCATCAAGCCTTCTATCAATAAAGTTGTCCATATAGATTAATTTGTCTATATAGATTGGAAAGAATTTTGTTTGGGTGGGCTTTTTTCATAATAAATTAAATGAGCGGGTTTTTTTTGAACTTGGCTATCACTATTAAAGCTCCCCTATAAGCTTACTGAATAAGCCACTTTCTATATCATTAACCCACTACCAAACAAACATGTATAGCCTCAATAAGCTGCTAAAAAAGGTCAAAATTAAATCTGAATATGGCATAGTAACAGATTGCAAGAGAACAAAAGTATGGGCTGGAGTGACAATGATCCCCTAAATGTTACAGTAAACAAAAACTTGGAAGCAGAAACAAGAAAATCATGCCTTGATTGTTACCGATAATTTCGCTCTCAAGTATTGGTGGCCCTGGTGTAGATCTGCTGGCTAGCATGAGCAGACACCATCCTGATCGCACCTCTTGCCATCAGATCCTTGATTGCCTTACGTGCCAACGATCCATTGATCTGAACCGAACCAAACCAAACCAAACCAAACAAAACCAATGTGAGTCGCACAACTCAAACGTCATTATATGTCATGTGTTTGCGGGTGTATTCAAGTTTCTACTCTTGCTCCTCCCAATTAAAAAACAATGCACCTTCCATCTATGAAAAACCCTCCCAAACAAAAATCTTCCCAATTCATCTAGGAGGGAGTTTTATGCAGAAAGACGGGTTTATCCACACAGAACTTAATGGAAAACCAACCAAACACAGCCTCTAAAGTCATGCCAAAGACGAGACAAGTTTTTTTACCGTCTTTGTCATGTCCCATCCTGTCCAGTCTACGAAACACACCTTTTTTTGTTTATCATGTCATACAAAACAGTTCTCATCACAGGTATATGCTGTAAGGACACAACTGGTTTGGCGCTAGAGGTATCAAAGGACAGTAATTGCAGTACAAGAACAACACAGGACGATGAGCCAATAAAAGTAGTTTATAATTAATTTTTAAGTAAAAAAACACGATAAGTAGCAGAAAAGATTAGTAAAAGAACTTTAACAATACCCTTAATCTGTCTGACAAGATGGAAGGAGTGATAAGCTTGAACTTTGGAGCTTCAGACAGAAGCTTGTCGTATGTAGCCTTATCGAATAAAACCATGTTGTTGACCTTCTCCTTTTGCTTTCCTTTGCTCCACTTCTGCAAGACCATGTGTATACAATCTTAATCTCTGTTTATTTGAAGAAAACATGAACTATAATTGTTTCTTCATTTGAAATGCCAAATTTGGAGATGTGGGTAGCACAGAGGTGGGATCTCCAATGGGTTCGGTCTGCTAAACATATACATGCAATTCATATGAAGCAACCAAAATTCATCCAGCTGGTAGTCTCTCTATTTTCGACATAGCTAACATAGTAGTCATAAGGAAGCCTTGAAGTTTACTAATTGTTAATATCTAAAATGCCTTCTTGCTGTGATGATAATTAATTAATATTCTTGCAATTCAGATATTACTCCTTTAGCAACAAAACAATATTTTTTGCCACCATAATATTTTCCCCTGTACGTTGAATGAATGCTCAAATATGACAATATGATGGCTAGGTATCTCTCCTTTTCCTTCTAAGGATACAAGAGCAATTATTCCTTCATTAACACACCTGAATGCTTTGTTGACATAAAGAATCTATACATAATGACTTCAAACCAAGAAGTTGTCCAATCCAAGATTGATCATATCTTATTCATAAGTCCCTCAACCAATTCATTTGCCCATTAAATATCAGCTCATTCCTAGTAATTAATATCATAGATGTCGATTTCCACGATTATTGGCATATAATATTCCCAAAAAAGTACAACTATTTCAGAGCCCTGGACAAAAAGAAAAGCCTTGTACAAACTAATCAATTGCCACACTAAGAATTTCAACTGAGTCAATTTTCTAACAAAATGTTGTTACTAATTTCGTTCATATTCTCAAAAATCAACACCACAGATATTACAGATCATGGCAAAGTTCTAGCTTTTATCACTAAGTAAGATTAACTTGTGCCTGTATAACTCAAAATACCAAATACAGACCACCAAAAATTAGTATCTCTATGTCAAAATTTGACTTTGACTCCTAACTTCCAGATTGATATAGAATCACACAATAACCACGTAGAACTGTATCAGCAGACCAAAAACACCTAGAAGAATATCTGCATTAAATTGACGACAAAAATCCATCTTATGTCGCAGTTAAAACGTTCTGCGTTCAACATCATATAGATTTCGCCATGGAACAGAGTGACTACTGAGATCGCAGCAGAAGCTAATCCAGTAATCCAGTACCATGTAATACGGTATTACAATGCTATTTTTTTGAAAAATCAAATCATTAACAAGAGATTAGGAGTCAAAAATATATCAAATCTAAATAATTAATAAAGTGAACTCCATAGAGGATGAAGTAAACGTAATACTTCAAATAGGATAGATTTAAAAAGTATCAAAACTTGACCTTCTTTTTCTGCTTTCCACCGCCGGACTTGGCCGGCTTAGATGACGGTGGGGGAGCCTTTTCCTTCTTCGGCGCCTGGTATACAAAAAAAGGAGTATAAACACTTTCAGAAACTGAAACAAGTGATAGAAATAAAGACAGAAATTTTAACGGATTCATAGATCAGATAATTGTGTTAAGTTACCATGAAAATTGATAATGACTTGTTCCTCTAGGGTTCCGACGCACAGGAGATCCGAAGAGCTGTTGCTACCGCCGCAGAGAATGGAGACTCTGCGTTTGCTTATGAAATTAGGGTTTTTGAAGGTCTTTACCGAGTTTGCGGTTCATAAATATCGGGTCGGTTCACGGATGGATACAAAGATAATTTGACGGATAAAAACCCGAAAATATATAGGGTTTCATATCAAAATAACCTTAAAAAAACAAAATATAATTTAATTAGGTTATTTTTTTGGCAAATTACATGGAAAAAATAACGTATTTTAACTTGATTTTTATTTTAAGTGACATATTTTCAAAGCTTTTATTTGGTACATAAGATGTAAAGTTTTAAATATTTAAGTATTTGGGATAACTGGTTGAAACATTAATCAGTTACCATGTTGATATGGTATCCAACTCAGTATTATTTGTTGAAGCATTAACCGAATATAACATCACTAGCCACACCAACATGATAACCGGTTATCCGGGGATTTAAATGTTTAAAACTTTACTTCTTTGATACCAAAATAAAAGTTCTGAAAGTACGTTACTTTTTCATACAATTTACAAAAGAAACCTTTAACGGATCTGATAACATAATTAACTGAATAAAACAAACCATATGGGTTTAGAAACCATTGTAGGCTCGTCCCTATATCACCTTGTTTATAGGCTGATATTGCATTGTAGATATACCATAATTAGGGGTGAGCATAGACGGGTACCCGCCCTTTTTGACAAGAACCGGAACCGGCGGTTCTTGAGATATTGGAACTGGAACCGGAACCGGTTAGAGCGGTTCTTAAATTTTTGGAACCGGAACCGGAACCGCCGGGAACCGGTTCCGGTTCCGGGTACCCGCTTCCTTAAATATTAAAATTTTGTTATTTAGAAATAAAAAATAAAACATTGCCAAAACACTAAATAAATAAGCAAGAATACAAATTATATAGAATAATGGTTACAAATGTTGTTTAACGATTACAAATCATAATAGACTAATAAAAAATGTTCAAAGTTTAACGATTACATACTATAATGGTAAATGTTCAAAGTTTAACGATTACATACTATGAATCCAAGTGAATACACAATTTGAAAAAATACGAATCATTTTATATGAATAATTTAGATGAAGAATGAAGATGACGACGCGCTTTCAAGATGTAAACCTAATATAAATTTGGTATAAAAAATTAATTATTATTTTTTATTGGAAAATACCGGCTACCCGGCGGGTAACGATTCCGAAAAATTGAGAACCGGAACCGGAACCGTTCTCAATCGGTTCCGTATTTTAGGAACCGGAACCGGAACCACTAATATCAGTTTCGGTTCCGGAACCAGCGGTTTCGGTTCCGTAACCGGGTACCCGGTTCCGCTGCTCACCCCTAACCATAACTCTCGATGATAGTTCGGACTTATCTTAATCCTTAAGCCCATTTCTTTAAGACCTTATATGTAAATACATTTGTACTTAAAACCCTATAATTGTTATAGTTACATATTTAACACATAATTTAATTATTCTAAAAGAATAAGTTATGTTATTATAAAGAATTTGATAAAAACTTTTAAAAACCATTTTTTATGCATAACGTATTGTTTATAGCTCCATATTATTTATAATTAAAAATTATAAGTAAATTGTGCATAAATACAACTTATTATAACTTCATGTTTGAATTCATGAAACTAACTGCAAATAAACATACACATGATAAATATAAAATCTAAAATATAATTAAGATAATTATTAAGTTCCAACAAAATACTTAGTTATTATTTATATATAAAATTATACTATCAAATCAAAATAAATTACTTTGTTACTAAACTTAAATTAAATTATAATAAAACAATTCTATTAAAGAGATTTCACACAAAAACGAGAATTTTTAAATAATTAATTTGATACTAATGTCGATATAATTTTTTCTCAAGTTTATAATATCTTCAAATTTATATTTTATTAAAAAATAACGACATTATTGTTTTCTCAAAATCACATAAAATCGTATTATAACATCGATAAAGACAATGAATAACGTGGAACATTAAAATAGAGATGTATATAGCCGTATTACGCCAGTATCCTTCTACTAATAAATAATCAACATGATATTGTTCAGGTTTTTGATGGTGCAATAATTATATCGAAGCATATGTATTCTTTATGTGCGACTCCATACATATACGTACTTTTTCAGCAGTATCATTGTGACACATGTCGTGGTAAATGCTTACCGGGTAACAGTCTCCTCCCTCTGTTACCAGGTTAGATTATCGGTCTTTGCTATGTCTCCTACCACGTAAGATTTTTGGTCCTTATCATGCCACGTAAGAAGTCAATACTGTATAAAAAGCAAGCTCTCGTTTAGTTTTGCAGGATTCATTTTCTCCGTTCCGGAGAATCTGTTTTTATCGTAAAATACAGAAAGAAACACTACGCTTTGCAAGAATTAGCCAAAAAATTGTCCGAGGATGCCGGTTTTTAAAAATGGTTTGTTCGAAAAGAAAACTGAAACGATTCCTAAAAGCAACGAGATTTACATATACTAATATCATCACATTATTACCTCAAATCGACGTTTGATTCAAGCAATCTTCGTTGACGATGTTCTCAGGGCATAAGAACATAACCGTCACAACTACCCGGAAATATGGTAGATGCAGGAGCAGAAGACATCTTGGTTCTTGAATCCGATCTTCGAAGTTGTGCGTGAGATTCCGCTTCTTGCTGGAACATCTTTACGAGCTCCTGTAGCTCCAGTCTCCTGACCTCAACTTCCTCTTCCATCACGGGATTTTTTAGTCCAAGGTAGAGTAAGCCGACAACAATCAACGTGATGCCAAGAAGTATGAGGATACAGGAAAACAGAAGAAAAGCAAACGGTGAACTTTCTGATCCGGGAATTCCATCAACATTTATCCCGAAGAGGCCGGTAATGATGGAAAGAACGAGGCCACAACCTCCAAAGACTCCTAGATTATGTGTCACCCGCAGGCTTTTGTCCTGAAAGTTGTTGCAAGAATGAAGGATTCATCGGTGTGACAAAAGGAGTGTAAACGAGTCGAGCTTTTAATGAGCTACTCGAGCTCGAGATGAACTTAATAATTCTCGAGCTCGAGTGGATTTCAAACACAAAACAACATAATTTGCTTAAGTTAACGAGCCAAGCTTCATAAAATCAATGGTTCGACTCGACTCATTCGGAAGCTCGATTAAATTTTTCGAGTCAAGCCATTCTATCATATACTTTTTCAATCCAAACATGCTCATATGTCCATAAATAATACAATAAAAATATAAAAATTATCAATCTAAAGCCGGTAAACAAGTGAATTGATAACGAGTATGGACCCATAAATGAGCATCGAGCTCGAGCCTACATTGAAAAAGTTATTCGAGCTCGAACCTAGTATAATTTTTTCGAGCCGAGCTCGAATACCTACTACTCAACACAGCTCGGCTCGTTTACACCCCTAATCGTGACAAAAGGGGTGGGGAGGTTTGCTGAAATAGTGGTGGTTGGCTGCTTGCCAAGCGAAAAGTACATAATATAACATCTAATGGTGGATGGAGAACAAGCCTGCTCTTCTAACTGAAAGAAACTTCTTAGTAGTATATTCGGAGGTTGGAGCTCTCACAAAAGCTACCAAAAACATGTTGCCTTTGATATGCAGACCGGACTGGATGAGGAGAGTGATGTAGACGGGTGAAAGAATTGAGGAAGGTTTTATGGTTTTATTTTGATATGGTTAGTTTAGTAATTTACCAATCTTGTCTCATCTTACTAATTTATTTTTTTGATTAACCTGGATATCCAACCCGCTATGCGAGCCGACTAATTCTAGGGCGACCACCTACTTTGCATATAGCCCGGAGTCACCGCATTTGAACCTCTGTGGCCACAAGGGGATTTTTATTCCTCCTTGGATTTGAACCTGAGACCTCTTGGTACTTTTGACCTTTGGAGCATCTTACAAATTTTTGTTCCACCTATTTTGAATTTTTGTCCCAATCAGTCTCGTCCGGTCCTGGTCTGATGTTGCACAAAACATGGGACAACACATTTATGTTTATCATGTCCCGTCCTGTCCTGCGTACCAAACGCACCCATAGCAGATAATACTATTAAATGTAACAAATATAATGGTAGTCCTAGACAAATCTACTTTTTATGGGATTTGGAATATTGGCTGTTTGACCGCATAAATGACAATGTATCTGTGAGAATATGTGGAGCCCCACTAAATTACTCTCCAAAAGAGCCCTTGGAAGAGAATGGAGGCTCCAACATATATGAGGAGAAATATAGACGATGTGTGACTCTAACATGCCGCCTCCAACAGAAGCTGACGGGCACATATTGTCCCAGAGTGTTGAGAACGGTCTATATGGATGAGGGGACTAGATGAGTACAGATTGCCCCTGGGTGTTGAGTCCCTAAGTGGTTGACCTCGACTCTAGTACCATGTGAGAATATGTGGACCCCATTAGGTTACTCTGCAAAAGAGCTCTTGAGAATGAAGATTCCAACATATAATCGAGGAGAAATGGTACAAATCTAGCCGATTTAGGACTCTTAACACGCCTCCTCCAACGGAGGCTAAACGGACACATATTGTCTTGGAGTGTTGAGAGGGGGCTAGATGTGTACAAATTGCCCCAGAGTGTGAAGTCCCTAACTCTGATACCATATGAGAATGTGTGGAAACCACTAGATTACTCTCCAAAGGAGCTCCTAAAGTAGTCGAGTCCCTGAAGTGGTCGAGTCCCTGAAGTGGTCGACCTTGACTCTAAAACCATGTGAGAATATGTGGACCCCGTTAGGTTACTCTCCAAAAGAGAACCCTTGAGGAGAGAATGTATGTTCCAACATATATCAAAGAGAAATGTTACAAATCTAGCCGATGTAGGACTCCAACACGCCTCCTCCAACAGAGGCTAAACGGGCATATATTGTCCCAGAATGTTGATAGGGGGCTAGATGTGTACAGATTGCCCCAAAGTGTGAAGTCCTTAAAGTGATGGACCTTGGATATGATACCATATGAGAATATGTGGAGCCCATTAGATTACTCTCCAAAAGAGTTCCCGAGGAGAGAATGGAGGTTCCAACATATATTGAGGAGAAAATATACCCACATCGGTTGGGGAGGGGAACTAAGGTTGTCTTAAAACCGTGAGTCCAGGTGTGGACAAAGCGCACAATATCTGGTTCAGTTGGCTTGCGATGTTACAAATGGTATCAAAGCCGGGAATCGGACTGGTGTGCCAACAAGGATGTTGGGCTCCCAAGGGGGGTGGATCATAAGTTCTCACATCGGTTGGGGAGGGGAATTAAGGTTGCCTTATCATAGGCTGGATACCTCCTCTATCAGACACGCTTTAAAACTGTGGGTCTAGGTGTGGACAAAGCGGATAATATGTGGTACAGTTTGCTGTCCAAGTCTAGTTGATGTGGGACTCCAATGGTATCTCTAATATTTGGAAGAGAGGTACTATAATATCTAAAAAACAAAATGCAGTAACCGGCAGAAGATTCTATAGATGGACATAAAAGAAATAGCACCTGTAACCAGGCCCGAACGGTACTCTGCATGACATCTTGTACTGTAAACAAACGTCCACGAACTGCTTCTTGCTCCTCAATCATTTGCCTAGTACTTTTTGTTACTCCTTCCAGTAACCGCTTTGCTGCATTACCTCTTAAATGTTGAAGGAGCTCAAAAACAATCTCTTCTCTAGCATGTAGAGACCACTTTACCCTTATAACCTTCAAGAAAGAAAAGGTGAGCAAAATTCACACAAAATTAATGAGGAACAAATATGAAATAAAACATAGACTATTCATAGGGCCTGTTTGGTTGGTTTTCCTTCAGGTCTTGTATGGATAAAGATGTTTGTGTGCATTAATTTGTCCGTATAGATTGAAAAAGTTTTTATTTGGGAGGGTTTTTTTTACAGATGGAATATGCATATTTTTTAATTGGGAGGGACAGGTTTGGAAAAAACTTGGCTTTCTGCATAAAGCTCCCCCCTAGAAGCTTACTGAATAAGTCATTTTCAATATCATTAAGCCACTACCAAACAGTCATGTGTAGCTGACCAAATAAGCTATGAGTCCATTAAGAAAACAGGCCCTTATTAGTTTATCTTTATGTTCTTTCAAGGAACGACATAGATGTAATCAAACAATCAAAAAAACATAAGCATTGATCATTCTAGAAATACCTGCGAAGACAGCCTTCTGATTTCTTGGTTTAATATTATGCTGAATAGATGCAAATCCTCATGATTTCTCCTATTAAAAGTAAAGAAGTTAAGAGATGTTAGAACTTGAGTATCACAAGAAAGAAATTGAATCCTCAGCAAATGATCTGCACGAATTTATTAGAACCTGTCCATAAACTTCAACTCAACTTCATCTGCTGCTCCAAAAATGTATTTCCTAAATAATCTACCAGACACAAAACCGAAGAATAGTTAGATTACAAAATCAAGAAGCCTGATTATTATGAAGATTGTATAAGAAGACAAAAAACATGAAACAGGCACCAATGTGTTAGCTATAACCTAATAACATCCAAAAGAAACTATTTGTCAAGTGAATGCAATAAAAAAAGGAATTTCACCTATCATCCCACCGGGCAACAAACAAACAACAATTTTCTTTTGGTATCCATGGGTATCCAGGCCAGCTTACGCGCACCGACTAATCCCCCAGTGATCACGAATGACCTATAGTCATCGACTCATCGCAAGTACACCTCCATGACCACAAGGGCTTTGGCAGCGCCAAGATTCGAACCCGGGGAAGATGAGATTTCCACCACATCCCCTGAGCCTTAACAAGCGCGCCACAACCCAAGTGGTTACAAACAACAATTTAGCTTAATTCATACTGTTTGGTTGGTTTTCCATTAATCCCTCTATGGATAAAGCTGTCCGTGAATTAATCTGTTTGTATAGATTGGGAACTGGGAAGATTTTTGTTTGGAAGGGTTTTTTCATAGATGGATGGAGCGTGCTTTTTAATTTGGAGAGATAGGTTCAGAAAAAACTTGGCTTTTTGCATAAAACTCCCCATATAAACTTACTCAAGCCACTTTTTCTATATCATCAAGCCACTACCAACAGTCATGTATAGCTGACCGAATAAGCTGTGAGTCTCATTAAGCTCATTAAGCTGCTAATGAACATGCCCTTAGTGGAAGAACAACCAAACAGACCCTAAGTTATGACCTAATAATGTTCAAAATGAACTATTTGATGCGTGAAATGCAATAAAAAAGGAATCTCACCTATCATCCCACCGAGCAAGGCGGCTTGCTAGGAGTGCTATAACTTCATGAATAGTTTGTGGTAGATTACCACCTCCTGCAGCAAGCAGCTCCTGTTGAAGCACTCGATAAATTAAAATAAATATTCAAGTAAGAACAGTTTCAGGCATGGATGTCAATAAAACATATCCAGTGACTGTTGAAAAGAAAAACCTGAACTTCTGAAACTCCTAACACATTGACGTTTGCCGCATAACCTTTGACGTGTAATGCAGTAACTAAAAAGTTCTGTGCTTGCCATGATCTTAGGACTACCGGGATGTCATCTTCTTCTACATATGGATCACCTGCTGACTGTCCTAAGAGTTCAAATAACAGTCCACCAGCAACCCTAACAGGAACCTGCATAGTGAAGAACCTAGAAACCATGAGATTATATCATGTGAGCAGACTATCTTAGATTTGCAGTATTTTCTTGTGTCATCACAACAACAAAATCGGCTTTATAGTCCAAAGACGTCTAAGGGGATGTTTGGTTGGTTTTCCATCAAGTCCTATATGGATAAAGTTGCCTGTGATTAATATGTCCGTATAGATTGAGAAGGTTCTTGTTTGGGAGTTTTTTTTCTTCCATAAATGGAAGTAACGTGTTTTTTAATTGGAAGGGGCAAGTTTTGGAAAAAAAAACATGGCTTTCTACATAAAGCTCCCCCTTAGAAGCTTACTTAATAAGGCACTTTCAATATCATTAAACCACTACCAAACAGTCATGTATAGTTTACTGAATAAGCTATGAGTCTCATTAAGCTGCTAACAAACAGGCCCTAAATGTCCTAATAAACGTGTTTATAGGACCAAAAAATTGTATGTCCTATATAATGCCGCTACGCTAACAAGTGTTGTAAGACACTTTTGAAGTAAAGTGTCATTTTAACTTTTTCATTCGACACTTTTGGGAAGTGCCTTGTGAACTTATTTTTTTACGGTTGTTTTTGTAAGACACATTTTCAAATAAATGTCATATAAAAACATTAATAAGATGTTTTATTTCAAAATTGTCCTAAAAACTTGTGAGGACACCAAAAATCGTCCTATCAACTTATCGTGACACCTTTACATAGGATACACAAGTCCTATAAGGCTATTTATAAGGACATTTAGACATATTTGGGATCCTATAAAACCAATTTTATTATAGTGACATTTCAGAATAATTTAACACAATCACAATGATACTAATGAATAATAAACATCACAAAGACACAAACATGCATAAAGTATATTATAGTGATATTGGAAAATAAAGAGTATATTCAAGAATGTTATCAAGAAAAGCTTGCCTCGTAAAGGAGGTGCTTCATACGCTCACTTATAAGCTTACTTTCATCTCGTAAAGCAATGCTGATAGCTGGATGTAACCACTTTGAGTTACTCAACCAAGAACTAATAGAAGGATGTCCTGCATCAACATGACACCACCAGGTGGGCCCTACAGCCTGTTCCCTGTAGGGCACGGCAATATCTGCAACTGTGACTTCATTATCATCAATTTCAAACTCTTCATGTTGAGAGTCCCAGCAGCCATTTACTTGTACTGTCTCCACAAGTTGAGTAATTCTTGACCAGCCAATTGGTATCCAACAGTTTCCAGTATTCATATTATTATGAGCATAGCCGAAATAATGCTCCGAGTTACAACCGTGGTCATAACTATCAATCCCACCATCATATGATTCTGGAAATGGTACAGAATTCGAAATGTTTCTCTTTACAGTTTGAACTGGCACTGAACTAGTGATCCTGTTTTTAGATCCTTGTTTCTTGTCCCTAATGACATCTTGTGGTCTACACTTTCTGTGGCCACGTACGGCCTCAAAAGCACAAATTAGTCCATCAGTCCACAAAGCACAACCCAACATAGCATCCTTACCAGCATGATGTTTCTGATTGTCAAACTTCTTCATATTGCTCGTGGATGCTCAAAAGTCACCAACTATCCAATCATCAAAAGTTTGAAAAATACAGTGTCAGAAGTCAGTAATCTGAAATATTAGAGCTTGTCCACTTTTTTCTTTCCTTTCTTTCTTCCTGGGGGACAAAACTAAAACAATAAAAATGACAAGTTAGGAGAAGTCCATTTACATCAAGCAAAATCAAGTGGAAGCTATTGAACAATAGAAACATATAGACATACAGGAGGAAAAAGGGATTCAGCATTTAAGTGGGGAAATTGTCTAAAATAGCCATTTTGGCCTCCCTGCTTCACTTTATAGCCACCTTTTCAACCAATTAACTGAAATAGCCAAGTTTTATCAAGTAGCACTTTAGCAACTTGTGAAATCCAATTTTTTTAATATAATATTCATAAAGTAGCAATCTTGTAAGTTGCAAAAGTGTTACCCTGTGAAATGCTGACGTGGAAGTACCACTTATGCACTTGCTAAAGTGCTACTTGCCAAGTATGCATTTCGCCAATAGCACTTTAGCAACTTGCTAAATTGGTACTTTATGAAAATTAACTTCATAAAAAGTAGATTCTGCAAGTTATAAACTGCTACTTGAGAAATCTTGGCTATTCCGGTCAACTGAGTAGAAAAGTGGCTATAAAATGAATTGGGAAGTCCAATAATGGCTATTTTGGACAATTTCCCGTTTGACTGCTAAAGTGCATTTTGATATGGATTTTCTAACATGCATTACTACCATCAGAATTAATGCACAAAGACTTCACCAAAAACCCTTCGAACACTTAGTACAGAAGCATCATGAATCTATGAACAGAATTAATGCACAAAGACTTCACCAATTGGATTCAACAGAACTTGATTTTTGAGGTCAATAAGAAGACGCTTTCTGCCCCAATTTTTAAAATGGTTCTCTAAACTTTGGAGGAAACTTCGGCCATTTGATTTCACTTTCTAACAAATAGATATTACAAAATCCCTATTAAACCCTTTCTAGCTCCCAACATTGCAATCCTTTACGCCATAAACTCCATAACCACAAAATTGTTTGTAAAGCTTCGAGAATTCACGAATGGAACTCCTTTCTTAGCACATACTAGACTTTTACATTTGTCTACATTAACAAACTGAATCTTTCAGAAGTACTTGCCATAGTCAAACAAACCTATACCACTTCAATCAGAGAGTAACAATTTGAGTTTTGAAGTTACGAATTCCCTAAATCAACTTACTAAAATCAAATAAAATTATCTCCAAACTTACTACCTACGTAATAACACATACATAACACGATGATAATATGAGGAAGATGCTACCAATTTGAGGATGAATCGATGCCGAGATACTCTTCTTTTTCTTTATGCGTAATCGTAACCGCTTTCGTGAAGTTTTCGGAAGGTGGCAACTCTGATAATCGCCACCGTCACCGGCACCTCACCGTGCCGATATTCGGTGGTGCTAGAAAGTCCTTACACTATGGCTCCTTTCTATAACAAGCCCTTTTATTCGATTGAAATAAAGAATGAATTACACGTTTAGTCCCTATGGTTTGGTATTTTAACACATTGAGTCCCTAAAATGAAATAATTAAAAAAATGGGCCCTATTAAGAATATTTATTTGAAACAACTTATCGTTTTCTACAAAAGTCTTTGTCAACCTATTATAAGTTAAAATAGTTTAACTTCTTCAAAAACTCTTTATTACCGATTTGACATTGGTATAAGATGTATATTCAAACACTAAAAACTCTTTATTACCGGTTTGACGTCGGTATAAGCTGTATATTCAAACACTAAAAAATGTTTATTACCAGTGTCACACCGGAATAAGTCAATAATTTTTTTTTAACAATTGGCTTATAAATTATCACAATCCATGGTACAGATATACAACTAGTATAACAATTCATTTGCCTTTCTATCCAAACAAATTCGAATTTGTAATAGGTCAAAGTAATGACATAATACAAGCTTAACATATTTTTCACATCAACATTAAGGTGACGTTTGTTTTTTAAGAGGTGTTGGAGTTTGAAATCTATTTTCATTTTTGATTTATAAGAGGTGGACTTGAAGTTTGATATCTGGATCAGTAAGATTGTTTTTACGTCTGAAGTCTGAAATCTGAATCAGTCAAACTAGTGCAAAAATATAAAAGTTAAATAGTTTTTTTTTTTTTTTACAAAAGTATAAAAGATGAATAATTTTTACTAATAAATCTCTTCCAACCCCCAAAATATGAACCATGTGATATAGTGCGGATTAGGATTAAAATGTATTAAGGGATATATTTACCACTTAAAATTTTCAGAGGATATTTAGAGTTTTTAATCACTTATTTTAAAAATAAAACAAACGCTCTTAATACCCGAATGTCTGAACGAATCAGACTTCAGAGATATTATGAGGTAATTTTGAAAAAATAAACAGGCCCTAAAACATTACAAACTACCGATGACTGTAAACCGAAATGCAATTTAGCAAATTATATTGTATAGTCAAGCAATAGTCAAGCAATGAAAAAGTAATGAATAAAATCAAACTACGAATCAAATGAACCCAATATATTTCACTTGAAAGTGTAATTATAGATATGATATACATGCAAACATATTATTTACTTCAGTAACTAACTAAGGGGCGGTTTACCTAAATGCTTATCCGGTGAGTGTTTAACATTAGGAGTCTAACACTATAATTTATTTTAATGGGTAAGATTGTAGTATATCAAAATGTATCATATACAACAATTTACCTGATAAGCGCTTACCCGGGTAAGAGTCGTCACTCTCACTTACCGGGTAAGTCTCTCAATCCTTATCATCGCTCTTACCGGGTAAGATTTTTGGCCCATTGCCATGTTCATCCGGTGAGGAAAATTACCCGGTAAGTACTTACCGGGTAAGCGTTTAGTAAACGGCCCCTAAGTAAAGCAGTTGTTTTCACAACACCCACTTTTTTTTATTAACCTGAATATCTAACTCGATATGCGAGCTGACTAGTCCCAAGACGACCACCCGCGAACACCGCATTTGAACCTCCATGGCCGCAAGGGGATTTTTATTCCTTCATTGGATTCGAACCTGGACCTCCAGACACTTTTGACCTTTATAGTCCAAACTCAAATCAATCAGACACCACTTTTACGGTTATAAAACCCAGTGTTTACAACCAAAAAAGTTGTAATGGATGAAGTTAGACAACAATATCTTGTGGGTGTTAGGAGAGAATCCTACGAGGGTCCATTCTAAAAGAGTTGTGGGCATCTTTCTTTATCGTCGAGGAAAACTAGGTTCCAATCAAGTGGTTTTTAATTTTTCTATTATTTATCGATGATCGGTAACGTACGATATTTGATTCTTGTCTCAAGTTAAAATTAGTTGAATTAATTTCGATCGCATATCAATCAACTTCGATTCCTTTTAATTTTCTATTTAAAGAGTCGTATACCAAAAGTTTATCGGGTAAGCATTTATCGGGTGTCACTCATCGTACCAGATGAACATGATAAGGATCAAAAATATTGTTCACTACTAAGAGGCATAACAACGTTTGAAAATCTTATACGGTTAGTGAGGAAGAAGATTCTTCAACCCGGTTAGTGCTTACTGGGTAATGAGTTGTTTGATTAGTTTTTTTTAAGTCCTGTATAAATAAAGTTGTCTGTATAAATTGAGATTGTTTGAGTTTTTCATAGATGGAATGAACATGTTTTTTTAATTATGAATGACATGTTTGAAAAAAACTTGGTTTTCTGTATAAAATTATCTCTTAGAAGCTTAGCGAATAAGTCACTTTTTATATTATTAAGCCAGTACTAAACAACCATCTATAACTAACTGAATAAGTTGTGACCAGTCCCATTAAACTGATTATTAACAGGCCCTAAGAAACAAACAACTTACCAACAATCTTAATATGTCATTTTGACAAAACTGACAGTGAATCTCACTTGGTAAGCAGGGACAGACCCAAAAAGAATTCCATACAATGCACATTTTTAAAAAATACAGTTGCACATTTCATAAACCTAAATTTTGTTAACTTACAACGAAGGGACAATACAATGACATGTGTTACCATAACCACTAAACTGGGTCTGTCTCTACTGGCAAAGTACGTATTAACTGTTGGTGATTTGTATCACTAATATCATTTAAGTGTAATAAGATTAATTTGTTGACCAATGTAATAATGATAAATATCGAACAAGTAAGGAAGATGCAGAGTGCACACTTGTTTGAGTTTATTTTGATTTAAGGGAGAAGCCCCTAAACGACGGGGGTCCGGGGGAGCAGCCCCTGGCTGGGGTTGAAAATGCTTCAAAAAAATCCAAATTTGGCGGGGTCCAAGGGGAATATCCCCTTGCTTTGTGAAAAATGCTTCAAAAATCCGAATTTGAAATTTTAAACCAGGTTTAGGGTTCTGAAACTACCGTTTGACAATTTTTGAATTAATTTTTCGTACTGGTCATTTGATTTTTGTAGGTACACAGATTCATAACAATTGATTCTCTATTCGAAAACCACTGAATTTTATCCGATTGAAATTCCGATTGTACAATCGAAATACTTCAATCTGAAAGTATTACACGACTTTCAGTGGAATCCAAACAATCGAAAACCAGAATTTCTAACATTAACCCAATAAGCGTTTACCCGGTTAGCATTTGGTAAACGACCCTTTTTAAGTATGAGACAATATCTTTGTCAAATAGAATATGAAAAACAAAATTTGAATAGACAGAAACGCATAAAAAGATGCATAGAAAACGTAACTTGTTTGATAAAGACGACATCTTTTCTGGTAAAAAATTATCCAAATTTCTGCTTTTCAAAAAGGAATCATACATACAATTCAAGGATGATTGAAAGACATGTTATTATATATAAACAAGTGAATGAATTGAAGGGAACTTATAACATGGGTTTTCAAAAGCTCATCTTCATCGTATTATTCATGCTTCTCTTCTCCTTTTCTCTTGCATCATTTGCTCTATTAAGCAACAAGAACTTGGTTTCAGGTTCTCTCTCTACATATGTATAATATATATATAGTTACACACACACATGTAAAACACACACAAGAGTGGTTTGTATTGTGTGTATTGGTCTTTTCCTTTCAAGAAATCTTGACCGAATCAGGGGTCGTTTGGTTGGTTTTCCATTAAAATCATGTTTCTTAGCAGCTTAATGAGCTTAAGGGGGGACTCGGAGATTATTTGGTCAGTTATATATGACTGTTTGGTAGTGGCTTAATGACATAAAATGGGCTTATTTGTTAAGTTTCTAGGGGGAGCTTTATGCAGAAAGTCATGTTTTTTCAAACATATTCTTTTCATTAATAAACACGTTCATTCTTTATATGAAAAAACCTTTCCAAACAAAAACATCCATATACATACAGTTTTATCCATGCAGAACTTAATAAAAAACCAAACAAACAGCCCGTAAGTTTTTTTTTTTGGATAAAGTTGTATCTATGGATTGAGAATGTTTTTGTTTGAGACGGTTTTTCATAAAAGAAAGGTGGGTGCTTTTTATTTGGGAAGAACAAGTTTGGAAAAAAAAAACTTGGTTTTCTGTATAAAGCTCTCCAAAAGCAATGACTTTCTATATCATTAAGTCAATACCAAACATATATAGCTTATCGAATAAGCCGTAAGTCTCGTTTTAACTCATTAAGCTGCGATTTTCTTATCACTCTGGTGGTGATGATTTTCCAGTAAAGTATTCATATAAATTTATCTGTTCATTTGACAGGAAAGTCTTGTTTCCGGCACACCGGAGCTTCGAGAATGCACTCTTAACTCAAAACGGTGTCGTTCTTTTTTGCAGAAAATAGTCAAAATACACATGAAAACGATTCTGTAGTTGGTGATGATAGTAGTGGAATGAACAAAAGCAAGTATACAACTGCTCTCACCGGAGGTAACGGCGGTGGACGGTCAGGTGGCGATGGCGAGCAGTCCAACTCCTCCCCACAAGGTGGCAACGGGGTGATCCCTGTATATGCCGCCGGTGCAGCCGCCGCTCAACGGAGAAACCACAAAGGTGATGCTGCAACTTGTAGCCCATGCTGGAAAGGAGGGTTTGCAATCTTCATAGTTATAGTATTATCATCTCTTTTACTCCAAATCCCTATGTAGAACACAATAATTTTATGTCAGTGTTTTTAAAGTATATCAGTACCCGTATCAATATCAATTTATTATTGATCGTTTACCGTAACAAAATCAAATTTATAGTGCGTTTAATGTGTTCAAGCGTCTTATAAGACATAATGTTACGGACGAAAAGTTAAAGCGTCATATCTAAATGTGTTACAATAAGTTTATAGGATGTTTTAAGGTGTCATAACAAGTTTTTTAGGACTCTTTTAAAAGAATGTGTTGTATTAACTATTTAATCAGACGCTTTTGAGAAGTGTCCTATAAACCCATTTTTCATATGACAATTGTGTTTATAGAACACGTTTAAAAAGCGTTCTATAAAATAGCTAATATGACACTTTATTTTACAAAAGTCATAAAAAACTTGTTACGACGTCCAGAAGTGTCCTCTAAATCTATTGTAACATTTTCGGATAAGATGTTTTGTTTTTTGGTCATATAATATAAAGCCTTATAAAACACTCTATGAGGAGGCTTAAACACTTTAGGCGTACTGTAATTTGTTGTAGTGGTTTAAAAAAGTAGCATAGTCTGTATAATGGTGAAAACAATCAGTACATGTTGATTGGTTCATAGGAAAGCCAACGGACCGGGTTCGGGCTGGTTATTGGTATCTCCATCCCCAAAACCGATAACTAAAACCGTCCTCATAACCGCCCGAACCCCGTCAGGGATCCCCATCGGGTCCCCGCGGTTTCTCTGATCCCCGTTATGGGTAAAAAAAAAAAAAATTCCGTTCACCGTTGGTTATACCTGAACCCAAACCCAAAATCGAACCGATCTAAAAAAATTACAACGTGTTAATTAAATTAAATTAAATTAATTTTTTTTAAATGTAAGTTTAAATGTCTCAAATATAATCGAACCAATTACAAACAATGTATTAGATTACAATATAAAAACAAACATAAATTCAAACATCATACAACTAACATCACGATTTCACGATTAGACAAATTATAAACTTTACTTTTTTCGTGAGCCTTATTTAGGTCATTTTATTGTTGGCAAACACTTATAAAAACATTTGGTAAACACTTTTACTTAGAACAACACTTACCAGGTCAGCCACTCTTACCTAGACAACACTTACCCAGTAAGAGTTGGCAAACGACCCCTTAGCCATAAAACCCGTATTTGACGACTAATAATATATAGAAACATCTTCACCTTTACTATATTTTCGTGAATATTTTGAACATATTATTTCCAATAACTTACGTTATGCTCATTTCCACCTTTTTTTCTTAATTATTCGTGTTGTTGGCCCAATTCTTTTCTCCTCTGCATTATATAAAAAAGAACCATTAAACGAAACGTTAAATTAACTAAAAGAATTAAAGTATTTATTCCATAACGACATTCGACAAAAAGCTTTTTATCAGATTAGTTAACAACGCATCTAAAAGCTCTGGTTGGCAGACGAATGGCGAAATGATAAGACTGATGTTTAAAGTTAAAAGTGTTCTGCAGAAGTTAAGATGTCCATTCTAATGGTTACGCAGAGAAAGTAACTTCAATAAGCAACAATAAAAAGCAGGTTGTTATTGTTTATGACTTAATTAAATTTAACTGTTTTTGAACATTAAAGGTTTCTATAAAAACGACATCTTTGTCTCTTGGGGCAGATGAAAGATATGTGTATATTTTACATTTTTCTATACCTCATTTTGGTGTGATATTAAGGGGTCGTTTACCAATACTTACCTGGGTAAGTGTTTACCGGCAAAATTCAAAACTATCAGTTACTTACCGAGTAAGATATTAGTCCACCAAAACGGTAATGTATGCAACAATTAACCCGGTAAGTGCTGACCGTGGTAAGAGTCGTTGCTGTCACTTACCGGGTAAGACTCTTAGTCTTTGCCTTAGGTCTTACTGGGTAAGATTCTTGGTCCTTGCAATGTTGATTCGATAAGGTAATGTGACTTGGTAAGCACTTACCCTGATAAGCGTTTGGTAAACGCTCCCTTAGTATATTCGGTTGATTTTATTGAATGTTTTTTAAGTATCTATATTATCTTATTAAGCAAATTTAACAAAAGTCTTAAAGTCTTAAAATATTAAGGGACCAAAATACCCTTTATACTATCTTTATATCACTTTTTCATCTTTTCACCCTTTCAACCCNTTAACAAAAGTCTTAAAGTCTTAAAATATTAAGGGACCAAAATACCCTTTATACTATCTTTATATCACTTTTTCATCTTTTCACCCTTTCAACCCTCATCACTCACTCTCTCACAACCCATTTTTTAAAATTATAATTTTAAATTTACACTTTATACCCCTATAATTAATTAATTAATTTACTTTACATCCTTTACTTTTAAATGTTTCATTTTAAACCTTTATCAAATTAACATACAGAATCGTATATCAATTAAAACATGTTTAAAAAATACATTTTTATTTTAACAAGTTACACCATTATAATCGTCTCGTTAATACCTTCAAAATGAGTCCAATATTGAATAATTTTTGACTTAATTATATTATTATATATTATATATACTGTGAAAAAATATTTTTAATATTTACGATTTATATTTTTATATATATACTATATATTTTGGAGTTAGGTTGTCCAAATTGCACTGTATAATATGTTTTTGGGTTTTTTTTGAAATATATATATATATACATGTATTAATTCAACCTTAATCTGAGTTTCTGGACAAGAAAGAGGGTAAGCAGTTAAAATTTAATTCTAAACCCCATTTTTTTTGTCTTTTCATGGCTTATGATCTGTCAAATTTGTATTTTCTTTATTGGTTTTGAGTGTTTATCTTAAAACTCAAGTTTCTTGGTTATTTGCTCTTGGTGTAAATCGAACACATTTGTGAAGTCGTTTAAATATGATGAATTTTAACTGTCATACAATTTTTTTCATCGATAGTCTATAATTGGAACCATAACTCTTATTTATTCAAATTGTATTAATATGTAAAGACCAAGTGTAACATATATCATCGTTAAATCTTATCTTATAAAATCAGTGGAACCTCAAAATCGTTAAAATTCATGGCTCCTGCCGCATTGCGCGGGTACACAACTAGTATAATATTTATATACGACAAATGTAACAAATAAACTCACACATCCTTCTCACATTTTGTGAGGTTTGAACCCCTGACCTCCTAGGAGGCCAAATGTTACGATATCGTTAGACTAAAAGCCATTTGGTTAAATGTTCATAATGAAAAAACACACAATTCTATAATATGTAATTATTACACTGAATGACATTGAGAATCCAAAAGATAGATTTCATTATAAATGGTTTTCAAAAATGGACTTGAAAGAAATCCGTTAATTGATTTCAAGATACTGACTATAAGTATTATATAACTACAGATCATATGTTATTAGAAGGTATGTATTTTCCCACGAATTCGAACTCGACTAATTCGAAGAAAGTTCACATAATAATAAAGGAGAAGATTCACATTGTTTTGTTTGATTAACAAAGAATGAACTAAACCACAAGGGTGGTGTCCGATTGGTTTGAGCTTGACTTAAAAAGTCAAAAGTGCCTGGAGGTCCCATGTTCGAATCCAATGAAGAATAAAAATTCATATGTGGCCACTAAGGTTCAAATACGATGACTCAGTGCCATTGTGAAACGGGTGGTCGCCATAAAATTAGTCGGCCCGCTTAACATGTTGGATATCCAGTTAATTAAAAAAAAAGAACTAATTAACTATATCAAATCATGAATGAGGACTGAAAATGTTATTTTTAAAAAAGTAGGGGAATAATTAACACATGGATAAATACTTTAGGGGCCTATATGTAATTGTTTTCTTAAAAGGGTCTTCCAAAACCCTCGAACTTGAAAACAAAATGAATTGAAATCTCTAAACCCTGGCGAGTGATAATGGCGGCGAAGAAATCAAGCAGCGAAGGAGTGCTTTCTAGGGTTTCATCGACGATATCTGAATCCCCGATCGTTTACAGAGGCAAACGAGCGGCCTCCGATGCCGGTTTTGTTGCCAAGAAGCTTCTCAAGAGCACCGGTAAGGCCGCCTGGATCGCCGGAACAACTTTTCTGATCCTCGTCGTTCCTCTGATCATTGAGATGGATCGTGAGGCTCAGTTGAACGAGCTTGAGCTCCAACAGGCTAGTTTGCTCGGTACTCCTGCCGTCGGCGTCCCGCAGAAGTGATGGCACTAAACCCTTATTTTGCAGGTTAGTCTTCGCGTTTATTGTGTTTTTGGAACAATGTATATTGCGTTTGGTAGTTAAAATTTTGCTATGTTTAGAGACGTTTGATGTATCCAAAACTTTCATAGAATGTTCTCCGTTTTACTTCATTTTGGAGCTATTATCGTCGGGGAGCCTTCAATATAGTTTTTACCCCTTTTGGAACAAATTCAGATCGCACCTATGTTCTTTTTTCTGAAGCTGAGGCATGGCAATCATGTATCCAGATGACCCTTACTTGTTTCTAGATGTGTGGAGTTAATTCTCTTGTTTGGTAGAGTATTGATGGTTACTTTTAGGGAATTATTAGATAACTGAATTTAGCTTGAAAATGTATTTCGGTAGCTTTGTCTGTTAATGGTTGATGCTTCAAGAATATCGAGTCTTTGAATAAAGGCGATATCGCAATGGTTGGTTGCTAAAAAGATACGCTCTAGATTTTGGGGAAGAAGTTATTTTGTTTGCTGAATCTAAGGGTTGAGAATGCTTAGTTTTGGAGGAGAAAGTTCAATTAAAGTAATTGTAGCTAGTTTGGCCTAGTTCAAACTCGATGCAACATTTTCTTATGATTAGGCCATACATTGCCATGACATAAAAATCAAACCAAACAAGCCTAGTATATCCCATTTGGAGGTGGGATCTAGGGAGGGTAAGATATACATAGACATGACCTCTATTGCTAATAGTAGAGTGGATGTTTTTGTGAAGACCTATGGCTTATGAAAAGCGTGTGAAAAGAAGGTGGGATTAAATTATAAAAAGCCGGATATGGGTAGGCAATAGCAATACAAATAGAAGCAAGAATAGGAAAAAAACGTAAAATCTAACCACCGACTCACTAACCCTATCCCCTACCCCTACTCTCTACTCTCTACCTCTCTTCGCCCCATCTAGATTTCCACCCATAATCTGCTACCTTAGTTTTGCATCTCCACAAACTCTTATCACTCTCTCCGCAATAGCAAGAAGCAGAGCGTGCCATAGTAGTCAGTAGACTGTAGAAGTAATTCATGCTTGCTTACATAATCTAGCTGTTTCATCAAAAACCCTTTCACTTCTCATCCAGTGTTCTAATCAATAGTCGGTACAGACCTATTGCTTCGAGTATCCAACTCATTCTTTTGAGTTTCTTCCCTCTCTTCTAATATGGCGCCTTAAAGCAACAACATAAGGGAGTGTTTGTCTGAATCAATTTTAGATGACTGATCTTTATGTAGTGAATTTCTTTTACACCATCTTCCTGTAAAGAAAAAAGAAATCTAAGATTTTAATCAGCTCCTAGGCTGGTTGGCAGTTAGCATTACTTTGCATATTTAAGACCACTTAAGAGTATATTATTATTAGCCAAAGGTAAATCAGCATGTATGGGTTGTTGATTGAACATAAAGTTATGACAAGTTGCTTCAAAGTTTGCTTTATTGCGATCAATATTTATATGATATTGTAACTCCCAAGTTCCTACTTCGAGTGTCATTACCTTCTTATTGATACTATTAAGTTTTCAATATGAACTTGAAATTTAACTTTATTTATAACTTAGCATATAATTACAACAGAGTTCAAATACTAGCGGAAACGTAACTCAATAGCTTATAATACAACACAATTTTGCTATTGATTAGAACAAACTTCTTCATGCTATCCTTCTTTACTCCTTCTCTGAGATATGTAACCTAAAAGCTTAGTGAGTAGTTATGGTTTCATGAATAAACAATTTTCATGATGCTTAACATTTTGTGAATGGTAATTCACTAAAACTCTTGATTATGCACAAAATAACCTTTTTATCATGCATAAACATTCTTTTGAGATCTCACTTGAAACATGTAAGTATGCCATACTTGTCTTGAGGTTTACTAACCCCCGGGTCCATAAAGGCTGCCCCATAAGGTCCGTTTGCACGACGTCTCTTCTTGTAATATCCCGTACATTGGATATTTATGGTCATACATAACATGCAAAAACTTTCATGCCTTGTGTAACACATACTTGTATCATAACATTCAAACACTTTCATGCCTTGGTGTAAAACACATACTTGTATCAAAACATGTCATCATGCATATCTTGTATAACATTTTCATGTAAAGCAAACATGCCAAAATATCTTGTAATGCATAAAATACTTTTATATGGCATGTATGTACGTCATAAATCTCATAAGTACTCACCTTGATTACGCCTAACTTTTCCCTTAATTTCTTTCTTCAAGCTTGATTATGTATAAAGAGAGAGATTTGTTACTTTTGTATGAAGCTAATAGTAATGCTTCAACCCCTATTATAGGTAAATTCATGGCATTAGCTACTTGTTTTTCTTGCTCCCAAAATTGTACTCTTATGAGTAGTTTAACGCCTCATTTTTGAGGATAAGAGAATCTTGATACACCATGCTTAATGTAAAGGAATCTTGACACATCATGCTTAATATAAAGGAATCTTGACACATCATGCTTAATATAAAGGAATCTTGACACATCATGCTTCTAGCTTTAATTTGTCCTGCTTTTGGCTCTTGCTTGTCATCATGAAACTTGCCAACACATGTTTCTAGCCTTGACAACTTATAACCAGCTTGCTTTGTCATGCTTGCTTAGTCATCAAATAGCTTGCCAACACATACTTCTAGCCCTTACAACTCATCACTTCAGGTTTTATTTCTCATGTTTTGCCTTGTAAGCTACTTGACTTATAAATATGATAGTTTAATAAATGCTACAACTGCTGCACTCTTTTAAGAGTACTTAATTTACTTGTAAAATTTTGTACTTAAGGCTTAAACATTAAAATTTAGCAAATAAAGAAACTACGGGTGTTACAAATATGCTCTAGGATATAGTCTACTTGGTCCAATGGATCTTGCATATGTGTAAACCAAACCAAACATACTTGGTATATCCGATATGGGGAGGATATGGTGTACGCAAACCTATATGGGCTGTTTCCTTAGGGTGCGTTTGTTTCACTGAACAAATTAGAACATGGATCACTGCTCCATGTTTGGCAGGATTTTTATGTGGAACAAACAAGAACATATATTTTACCACCTCAAGATAAAACGTAATTCTCTTCTAAAACATCAAATATGCCTCCCCCTTTATAGTTTATTCATTCTTTATTTGTTTTTTATATTTTATGTTCTTTAAACTTTTACTTTATTGACCCCCGAATATTATTTTTTGACGGTTTCTATATTTTGATTAATTTATTAAATATAATAATAGAAGGTATAAAATAAAAATTGGAAACTCCATAAACTTTTTTTTTTGGTGTCATTTTAATCGTTTTGACGAAACCTTTTCAATGATATATTTTGTTATAAAAATATTTTATTTTATTATAAGTTAATAAATTAATCAAAATATATAAGCAACCCATTAGGGGTAAGGCCATTTTGTTTGTTCTGTCCTGACCAGTTATGTCTTTTCAAATTTTGTCCTATCTTGTCTGGATACCAAATGCACCCTTAAAGACCCCTGGTTTGTGAGAACATGTTGTAGAAAGTAGAAACAAGGTATGTCCAAAAGTATTTTGTTTAAACTGCAAGTATTATGAAAACATACCCGAGAGATTACTAGAAAAAGAGTGCGTGCAAACAGACAGTAAACCGTAACTGAGCAGAAGTGTCAGATGCACGAAGAAACCATGTTATCCTACCTGTCGGGTGTTTTTCATGCTTCTTTTTGTCACCATTTCAAGTCTGACAGATATACGTTGTATGTATATGCATATATCTTTCCGACTCAAAATGGTGACAAAAAGGTGCATCGATGCTTGTTCTTTTTATGATTTGTCAACAAAGGGAATTCGGGTCAATGAGTCTTGCAAATTCTTTTGGATACAGGTATGGATCCAACGGAGTGAAATTTAAGCAGAAACAAAATGAAAGAAAGCAGCAACAACACCAATTGGTATGAAGTTTTTCATTTGGTTTTATATCATGAATTTGTGATTCTAAAGAGATGTTCTCTTGGCTTCATCTTTTTTCCATGATATTATATTTCATGCATATTTAAAATAACTGCAATTAGATTGATCATTGCAGATAGGCATGACCCTAAAATGCTTTAGAATTCAATTATATATTCGAACAAAGCCTTATGCATCGCGTATATTTATATGTTGGTTGGCTTTTGGTTTTACTTAGTATTGGTAGTTGGATGTTTATGGGTTTGTTTGCTCTTTCATGGCTATTTTTTGAAATTCTATTAGTCACAAAGAATGGTAGTCATAGAAAAATGAAAACCACAAGGACCAAATCCAATTCATTCTTTTGTTTATTTAGAAATTAAATGTAATTTATTTTAGTTTCAATTAAATTATTATAAATAAAAATAATTTATTTTAGTTTCAATTAAATTATTATAAATAAAAATAATTTATTTTAGTTTCAATTAAATTTTTATAAATAAAAATAATTTATTTTAGTTTCAATTAAATCATCGGATTAGTAGGACCGAAATGATGATTTGATTGTGTTTATCGGATGGTTATTAAGGACAAAGAATGAAAATGAAATGACCGATGTTTTTATATCGACTCCACTCTGATGGTCGTCGCTGCCACCGTCGTTGAATCAAATTGGCATTCATTTTCTTTTACATATTTAATTAAATTCTATTACAATTCTTTCATATTCAAATTCCTTTAATAAATTTCAATAATTTTTCACATACTGGAATGTTTTTCCTTATTAATGACTCTATTTTTAGAAATATAATTACTTTAAACATATTTAGGGGTTGTTTGTTTACATTTTAGTAGTTTTATTAAGAGGCAATTTTAAATTATTAAGAGATAAATCTTGTTTGGGAAAAAAATATGCCTCATAATGGTTTTAAAATCTTCTGAATAATTTTGTATCTTGGGTTTTCTTTAACCATTCAGTGGCTTAATTTCGTTGTAAACAATTACCAAACAATTAGAAGTTGTTTGGCGGTTGCTGAATAATTAAGAGACTCATGATATAATGCAAAATGAAATATAATTGTTAGGTAATTGTTTACAATGAAATTAGGGCGCTTAAGGGATAAGGGATGCACAAGATACAAAATCATTAAGAAAGTTTTAGAACCATTAAGATGCAAACTTTTTTTTGCCAAACAAGATTCACCTCTTAACGATTCAGAGTCTGCCTCTTAATGGAACTATTAAGAGGTAAACAAACCACCTTTATATTCCATTTTGCACTATATTATTAAACCTTTTAATCATTCTGCATCCAAATATTCAGCAACTACCAAACAACCCCTTAGTCATTTATACTCGAACAAAATTTTTACATTTTTCCCTTTTAATGAAAAATGATATTAAATTTCTAGTTTTAAATTACACCAAGATATTACATATTATGTTAAAACCTTGCTTACAACATATCTTAACAAATATTAAAACATGTTTGATGGTAATTTAACTGATTCACATGTAACCATGGTTCATGAGTTCACATTCCTTCTGTCTATCTATGCTTTAAGTATATGATCTATGTTTCATGTTCACGTCACATAAAAGTTAACACATATGTATTGCTAAGATTCATGTCTGATGCCACGTTAACCTCTTGACATGCCATGATCTGATGCAAAGTTTTGTAATGCAACATCTAAAGTTTTCTATATCTTATCTTTTCGTTTTTAAGTATATAATATAATTTAAATCGTTTAATATTATTAGTTTATTGAATAATACTAGAAAACATATGTGTGTGTATATATATATATAGATAGAGAGAGAAAGAGAGAGACTTGGGATCATGTGAGACCAAAGGTTTTTCGTGAGAGCCGTAAGACCAATTCTTGGATTAGATATACAATCTCAACATTCATAATTACAAAATTGCCATGAGACTTCTCAATAATCACAAAATTGCCACCATGCAACTTTATACCATTAGATCATTAGCTTATAAAGTTGATCAACGAACATAAATTGGTCTTACAGATCTCACGAAAACCCTTGATCTCACGTGAACCCAACCATATATATATATATATATATATATATATATATATATGTGTGTGTGTGTGTGTGTGTGTGTGTAGGGTTGGGTTCACGTGACACCAGTATGTTTTCGTGAGACTCGTGGGACCACCTTTTTACACTTGAAACTTCACAACAAAACACTGTAAAGGTTATAAAAAAAGCCAAACACCTTCACAGCAAAAACATTGTGAAGGTTACCTTCACAGCAAAAACACTGTGATGGTTACCTTCACAGTGTTTTGTTGTGAAGTTTCAAGTGTAAAATGCTGTCTCACAAGTCTCACGAAAACAGGATGGTCTCACGTGATCCCAACTCTCTCTCTCTCTCTCTCTCTCTCTC